TTTTCAGATTGTGGATAGTGTTGAGTACAAAATAAGTATAATGAAGACCTTAAAATTGCTTCTCAAAGTATTTGTGGTAAAAGACTATTTTTATTAAATTTCTAATCAATCACAGTACTATCCTATCTAATAAAGAGGAAATGTGCTAATTGGCCCTCACATCATCTATAGCCAATAGGAGGGAATATGCTAATTGACTGCCCCATCCTCAAAGATGGCAATGCCCACAGCCGTTAAGAAGGGAATATGCTAATTGACTGTGTCACCCTCAAAGATGGTGGTTCCCACAGCTACACAATGGTTGCACCCAGTTCCCTCATCCCCACAGGAACATCTGCCTCCAGAGTCCTCCAGTCCTCTCAGTCCCCCAGCAGCCCAGGGCCAGCCTGAGGTGCAGGCAAGCCTTGAATGGTGGCTGCCCAGCCATCCACGGCTTCCTGAGGCTCAGGTAACCAGGCCAGCAGAGGCTTGCACTGTAGGCAGTGGCAACAGCAGAGGTGTGATGGGGTGTCACCTTCCCCTGATTGCCAGGTTGCCTCCCACTCCTGAGGGCTCCTGGACTGTGAGAGGGGGCAGGCTGGGCTGAGGGCCCACCCTCCAGTGCATGAATTTTCATACACTGGGCCTCTATTTAGATTATATAGTAAATTATTAGAAAAATAAATTTAAAAATTATATACAAAATATATGCCCAAATGTTATTACTGGGTTTCAAAGACAATTTAAGAAAAAGCTTCCTACAGAGTTATTTTCTATTATGTCTTTTTCCTTAACACTAGAGGCCCAATGCATGAAGATTCATGCAAGAATGGGCCTTCCTTCCCTTGGCTGTAGGTACTGCCTTCACTCTGCCAGGAGCAGCCTTTTTGCTCTGACCTGGAGCCACCTTTCCACCTTCCCATGCTGACGAGAGGCCTGAAGCAGCTGAAGCATCCCACCCAAAACCCAGCCACTCAGCACCTTTGCATGCAAATCAACCTACCATCTTTTTTGGGTTGATTTGCATACTCACTCCTGATTGGATGGTGGGCATCGCAAAGATATGGTCAATTTGCAGCTTACTCTTTTAGTGCAGTAACAAAGAATTTGAGGACAAGCATTCTGAGTAACACTGATTTGTTGCACAATGTCATTTATATAATTTAAAAATACATAGCTCAAAAGAAAAATCTATGATTTATAAAAATGCATATAAATAAACACACATTAAATCTATTGGAAAGATAATTTATTATGTAAAGAAAGGGAAGAAATGAAAGTTGGAATGAAAAAGAATCAATCAAAAGAATAATTGAGCACAGATAAATGAGAATGGTGTATTAGGAGTAAGGCTAATTCAACATTTATGTCTGAGAGATGGGCACACACACACACACACACACACACACACACACACACACACCAGAGAGAGAGAGAGAGGGAGAGAGAGAGAGAGAGCGCGCAAAAAGTTATATGAAATGAAAGTCTTTCCTATACTCTGGTTTCTTTCTCACTAACTCATTATTTTCCATCTGCTTTAATTCATCTGATTATCATTAATTCTTTTCTCCATTCCCCTTTTGAGCTACATCAAACCAATAAGAAACCATCAGGCAGATATATTTTCCTCAGTATTAAATGTGTACTTTGTTTTTCACTCTTATCATCTTAATACACCAAAGATACCTACTATAAATGCCTTGGCTAGTTTACACTGGTTAGCTTCACAGTCTATGAATTTTAGATCTTGTGAAGATCTCAGATATGCTGTCTATATTTCCATTTCTTCATTTCCCATTCATTTTCAACCCACCCACAGATCTGAAATAGTGTCTTTATACTGTAACCACTAAACAGAAGGAGGATTGGGGGGGGGAAAAAAACAAAAAAAAAACTATAACACTTCAGAGGTTTATTTGAAAATCCTGACATTTGTCCAATGAAGGGTTACTCCTGTCTGGTGACTAAAGGACTCTGCCCTGCAGCTTCATGATTTGAAGCCATGGTATCCATACGTCTGTACCAGTCCTCTTCTTTTCGGAAGCTTCCCTCTGTAGGTTTTTAAAGTATATTAACTGCACACATTGCTTTGTACTCAGCTTGCCTATTTGTACTCAGCAGTGACTGGAGGGTTATTGTTGTTTTTTTGTTTTCTTTTGTTTTTGTTTTTTATGTCAAGAAAATATAAGGAAGGGCTGAATAAGAGTTATTTGTGATTTGAGCTGTGAAGAAAAATAATCTATGTTTCTGAGACCCCAAACTCTTTGTTTCACTTAAAAGTGGATTTCTAAAAGTTGGTTTATCAAAAATAATCATTTCAATTCCCATTTTACTTACAGAAACATGATCCGCTTACATTTGGATGTATATCTCATGCTTTAATTCTTAAACTGTAGCCCTTCAATGTTTAGCAATACCTAAACAGGTAGAATTCTGAAGTTTACCTGTTTTTCTTTACCTCATTGGGTTTTTAAACTAACTACAAAGTTAATATGTAGACTCATCACAGCAAGTCAAGCCAAGTAGGGAGTATAAAGAGTAAGTTAGAAGGCCTGCCTTACCAGTCAATGTGAATTACCCAACATGCAAACCAAATATGTACTCAGGACACCAACAAAAACAGGGGATTCCAAAATGTTTTTTGAAGTATTATAACTGATATTTTAGAAAGAGCATTGGACAAGTGACCCCATTGGGTCTATTCTATCCAGAGATACTTTTGAATTCATTTATATTTATTTTGTATTAAGTATTTTTATTAAATTTTACATTATACATTGGGAGGGAGAGAACAAATATGTACAAATAATGCATAAGTGTCAAAATTATGTTTTGTTTAAAATGTATATGCACATACACTTTTTACTTTTTTAAAATATATTTTATTGATTTTTTACAGAGAGAAAGAGAGAGGGATAGAGAGTTAGAAATACTGATGAGAGAGACTCATCGATCAGCTGCCTCTTGCACACCCCCCCACTAGGGATGTGCTCGCAACCAAGGTTCATGGCCTTGACCGGAATCGAACCCAGGACCTCTCAGTCCGCAGGCCGACGCTCTCTGCACTGAGCCAAACAGGCCACTTTTTACTTTTTAAAAAATATATTTTTATTGATTTTTTACAGAGACAAAAGGAGAGGGATAGAGAGATAGAAACATCAATGAAAGAGAAGCATCGATCAGCTGCCTCCTGCACACCTCCCACTGGGGATGTGCTAAGAACCAAGGTACATGCCCTTTGACCAGAATTGAACCCTTCAGTCCCCAGGATAACGCTCTATCCTCTGAACCAAACTGGCCAGGGCCACATACACTTTTTATATCATCATTGTAGAATAATTTTTCACCTTAAAATTTCACTCATTATTTTGTAAACCTTTCCATGTTCATGCTGAGATTTAATGCATATTATGTAATCATTGTTTTCTATTCCATTGTACTAATGAACTAACTTGCTTGTGCATTCTTTCATTGCTAAATAATCTCTAAATTTCCCACTGTTAAGTATATGGCTATATTCATATTTCTGAGATCTTATAAATTGTCTTTTCTTTTTCAAAAATAATTTTCTTGGACTAATTCACTGGCATGGTATTTTTGCATCAAAACTTATTTAAATAACTTTTCCTGCCTATGATCGAATTTCTCACCTAAAGGAGTTTGCAGGGTAGACTTTGCATTCTGAGCTTAGAAGTAGTTTGAAGCATGACAAGGTTGGGGCAGGCAAGGTTAGAGGCACTGTGGGGGACAGGAAGAAGGTGATGCCCTAACCTAGCAAGAGATGTTGTATATCCCATTTAGAATGTGGCTGTGTGTGTGTGTGTGTGTGTGTGTGTGTGTGTATGTATAAAAGGAAATGAATATAATAAATATTTTGGAGGTGGGTTTAACAGGCTTGATGACCAGAGGAGGGAAGACTAAGGAAGACAGGAGGATGAGTTATTTGTTTGTTTGTTTGTTTGTTTGTTTGTTTAGGAACTTGAGACCTGGATAGAATAGAGCAAGTTTGGAAGAGAAAGAAAGACTCTGGTGCACTATATTCCCAATACCCAGCACAGTGGCTAGTACAACAACAGCATTCAATAAATGTTAGCTGCATGAATGTTTCATGGGTACATGAATTAATGAGTGCTGCAAATAATGAATAAGTATTTCTATTTCTCAAAGCCCTACAAGTACCTGTTTGTCTCTTTCCTGTTTTTATTTCAACAGGATATTTTGAATCAGGACTCATGAGAACAAGGAAGAAATTGTGGATAAGAAGAGAATCCAACGCTAAAACTCAGGATTTCAGAACAACCTGATCTTCCCCTCCTAGAATTAATCAATTACTTTGCAAGGTCAATCTTATGCAGACTGAACTACTCCTTTTGGAAAGCTGGTCCTCCCCACTTTCTGGCTGCTAACTCAATATCCCTAGATTCAGAATGACATAATGGCTCTAATCCGCTGAATCTCACTGTTTACCAGGGAGAGACTGATTTAGATTGTTCCTTAAATCTCTCTGCTCTGATTTCAAGTCCTTTCAGAAAGGCCACATCTGGTCACAGGTGTCTGGAACCAACGGTTCTAGTGAGAGAATTCCCAAACAGCCTATGTTTCCAGCTGTGCTTTGGAGATTCTGAAACTTAGTTATGTGATTGTAACTTGGGTTTATATTTTTATATCAAATTTGGTCACGTTGAGTTACTGTATTTTTCTGTTTATTTCATAGTCCCTGGAAGGCAAAAGCAATGACTTCTATTTTTTTCATAACTCTCCAAGAGGCAGGTATAAGGTTTGCTGTAAAGTGAGGACTCAGCAAATACTGATGATTGCCCAACCATGATTACCAAATTGAAAGAAATAAGTAGGCACCATGTAACTAGTCTTAGGAAACACGATGTTTATTGAAATGGAATGTAGATAAATTATCACCAGCATAAAACAGTTAGTGGAGTTTTCAACATGGGTTCTTTTTTTTTTCTCTTAAAATGAAGTATGGCTTTATAAGTCCATTGTCCCATATGAAAAATATTATATTTATCTGTTCAGATAAAGTCCTTTAAAAAAGTAAATTCACTTTTGAAATGGTCTTTTAAACGTCTCCAGCCTATGACCAAAACAAAAAATATATTAAGAAGATTAAATAGTCTCCATTTAAAAAGAATTAAATATTAATAATTATGGGTGAAAGATACATTTGGAAAAATACTTAGGCATTTGAAAAGTAGAATTTACTCCTAATTTTAATAAAATTTACTAATTTTATTAGTATGTACTAAAATATTTAAGGCATAATTTTTTTAAATTACCAAGATAAAATAATATGTTGTCATTAAAATGTTTTAAAAAATGTGGCAATTATTTCATATATACCTAGGACAAATGATAAAATGTTATATCATCAAATAAATAAATTTTAAATAATGCAGAGTGCAGTAATTTGGGAATACAATCCAAAGTAAGTTGTAATTTCCATTTAAGGTTAAATATCCTTCATATCAGACAAAATTGATAAATATGGTAACAGAAAGTGAGAAGGAACTTTCAGGAATGTTTTTGAAACTTTGTGGGTTAATAGAAATGAAAAATTCATTCTCAGAGTAAAATGATTTATTCCGTTTCTATGTCAACATGGTGCTCTGGTCTGACCTGTTTGGATCCCCCAAGGTGGTGCTGCTGCCCTTCTCCCACATTGAATCTGTTGAAGGGAATTATCTTCATGGTGGTTTTCTTCATGGAATACCAACGAGATTTCCAGGTGGCCCAAATAATGCCATTATCATTATCATTCGGTGGAGATGCCTTTGAGTAAGTGCCACCTAAGACAAATTGAACATATCATTGATCTTGGATTTCCTTACCTCAGGGAGTCTATAAAGAACTGCCATTTATGATGGCCATTGTCACATCAAATGTATAGTGCTATCAACTAACTGAAAATATCCTGAAGATCACTAAAATCTCAATTTATAATTATAATAAATGGATTATTAACAACCTCTTACATCTGTGTTGTTCTTTCTTCTGGTCACATTTATACTTTAAATATATTCACTACTAACAGGGCTACAATTCCAGTTTCCCCAGTTGGTGTCTAGCCAACCATACTGGACTCAGCTATTATGGACCATCTTTTTTTTCAAGGAGGTTAGAATGGTAGGAATCACAATTCCTGATGAGGTGATCTCAAGTTATCTGAAAACACAATTGTCCTAGAAAGTATGAGGGACTTTAGAAAATAGTCTGGAATGTTATTTCGCATCTCCATTATAAAGTGGAGATTAGGTTGATTTGCCTTCTCCTTGTCCATAAGCACCAGTTCTCATGTAATTTCCTAAGGAAATATTTGAGTCCAATGTGTACCACAGGCTATCAACATGGCCACTCTGGGTCATATAGATCAAACACCTTTCCTGAGAATTTCTTTTAATTATATGGTTTGTGAGTGCAAAGATTAATTAGATGTTGTTTTTTAATGTTATGAAGCCTGGCTGGTGTGGCTCAGTGGTTGAGTGTTGACCTATGAAGCAGGAGGCCACAGTTCCCCAGTCAGGGCACATGACCTGGTTGCTGGCTTGATCCCCAGTGTGGGGCATGCAGGAGAGAGCAGATCAATGATTCTCTCTCATCATTGATGTTTCTATCTTTCTCACCCTCACCCTTCCTCTCTAAAATCAATAAAAAATATATTTTTACAAAATGTTGTGAAGACCAAAAGATAAATTTAAATCATTTTTAAGAGAATTATAAGCCATTTATTGGCTAGGACAATGCCATGAGGAGGTAAGATTGCTCATCTTAATGGATCTTTTTGCATCAGTAGAGCTTTCCCACACATAACTATTGGGTAGTAACAATAGTTAGTAAGTAAAATCAGTGTTCATAACTATCCCAGCCTGAGAGCAAATTATATATTGCCTTCCCCCATCCTAAATTAAGTGTCTAGACTCATAAGCTGGATTCTTCTCTCAAGTTTCCATGGACCCCTACCCTTTCCAACAAATTCCTGCTCTTTACTCCATTCCTCCAGACACTGACTTACTGCTCACTGGTTATATCTGATACACTGCTCAGCTGACTCAAGCTAATGTGTTAACAAGCATACATATGGTAATGTTGGTCCATCCAGATCATATATATGCAAATTTGGAGGAAACTCCATAACCCAAAATGTCAACTCTGATGGTGGTAATTTCAGACACAATGACAAACCATTGGCTATTTTACAGCAGGTGGATTTCTTGTTGAGGGGCCAATTTGAAATATAGTCTCAGTATTATTCAATTGTAATTTCATAACAAGAACTAAATTGGCATGAGTGAGAGAAAGAAAGGAGACTGATGCTCTTGTTAACGTATGACTATTTATCTGTCCTTCATTTCAGTGTTATTTTTGCCAGTGTTATGTGTGATAGACCCATCCTGTTAAATATAACAACATTTTGGAAAGCATTCATGTAAGTATTTTGTGTCAACATAAAAGTTCACTGTTTAGTACCTCGTTACCTCAGTCCTATGTTTTGGTCCTCTTGAGGAGTATAGCTTGTCTTGAAAAACCAAACGTGGAGTCATCAAGTCTGATGACCCCCCCCCGCCCGGGTGGGGGCAGCTTTTGAATACTTTCCTGAACCAGGAAGTTTGGTTGAAAGCCTATGACATCTTTAGACCAGGACATGGACTTGAGATAGTTTATTTTTAGTAAAGTGTCATGTGAACTGTGACACCGCATATGTGGCACTCATTCACCTCTGACATGCTTCCAGTGTAGTGTAATTGTATTTGTTATTACATAGTTTTTTTGTGCAAATTCAATTTTTATACTGGAAATACTTATTCGTATTGTAATACATTATAAATTTACTATTTTAAAACAGAACTATATAATAAGCTCCCCTGATATAATTACTAATTATTTCTCATCCTTAAATCTATTTAAACTTTTTATTAAAATATAGACTGCACACTAAAGTCATATAAGTAAGAAAGAAAGCCATACCTTGGTAATAAATTCCATTGAGATGGCCAGCATGACACTTGTTCATCCACCAGCCAGATCCATCCTGCTCAGCACAGTTACCCTCAAACTTATCATTGTCATTGTCCCAGGTACTGAACTGCATGCCGTTGTGGGATGTGAAGAACTTGTCACTGGGATCATCGCCAAAATCATAGCCATCGAAGGCATCGCCGGCATCTCCACCGATGAAGTAGGCATATTTCAGGCGGTATTTGTCAGCTTCATTTCCCACACTGAACATGGCATAGTCTGCAGTACTATAAAGAAATAGAGATATCATATCTTGAACCTCAATAGGGATCTCAGAAGGTACTTCTATAGAACAGCCGTTCTATAGAGACTTGCTCCTTAAGTCTCAAATGTGTTCATTGAATGAACTCTTCTGTACATTTGGTAAGAAGCAATGGCTGTAAGAACCAATTCAGTGCTTATCAGCACTCTGATTATAGCACCCAATGCTTATCAGACCACCCAGGATGGGTCTAGAAGCCGTCATAGCATTTCAATGAAAACTAAAAACTTCAGCCATTTTAATGCTTTTTACCGATAGGATCCTAATATCAAACCCAGATGTATGGATGAATCTGATTGATTTTATATTTTCACTTTTATCTAAATGGTTAGCATTGTTCACACAGTCTTCAGAAACCACAGTAATTAGCTGACAGTGAGTGACCGTCAATGCACCAAAGGAGCTACACCCCCTTTAGCTGTTCAATCTGAAGAGTGAGGTCCTAAAGGGGTTTTTCTTTCATTAGGCAATGTGGTAGTGGCAAAAAGGTTGGCTTCCTAGAACATCACATGAAAGAAGTGGTCCCTTTGTGGCCCACAAAACATGAGCTAGGGGATCAGAGAGAAGTTCTCCGCTGGGGGGCGGGGGGGAATATATATATGAATGCGGGCCAGAATTCTATTGAGTGCATGGAAGAATGAGCCTTACTATATGAACAGAGATTTCCAGAAAATCACTTATCTCCGGTGCTTGTGAAACTGGAGATATTATCACAGGAGCAAATCTACTGACTATGGTACTTTCTGGGTAAAAAATAAATAAATAAAAATACATCTTTGGATACAAAACATATTCCATTATTTCATAGACATAAAAAGAGGGTTGGATATTTTTCTGAATTTTAATTAGGTGTACAATGCTCAAAGCCCCCAGATAACTCTGAGCATAGAGGAGCTCTAGCTCACCAAAGGAGCTAGCTTATTTAATTTCAGCCAGGAAATCTGAAGAGGCAGGCTTGGCTTTCAACCAGGCTAGTCTTAAGAAGATGATCTGTAGAGTCAAACAACCTTAGTTCAAATCCAACCTTTACCATATGCCAGCAATGTGACCTTGGGAAGGTTAATATGGAATTAACAATATTACCTGCCTCGTAAAAGAGTTACTAGGACTAGATTAAATTATAACCTCATACTCAATTTCTGATAAATTGTAAATTCTCAGTAAATATCAGCAACGATTCTGTATGGTTCCAGGGTAAGTAGATTTTACCAAAATACTCAGATCCAGCCTGGGTAGAACCCATCTTTTTGGGCTGCCCAAGAACCAAATCGACTTGTGGAGGAAATGGCTGAATGTGTTCTTTGCATTTGTTAAGCTCTCTTTGCCACTGGTCTGTTGATGGCTAGAAAGTGCACATTCCAGACAACAAGAAGTCTCTTCTAGACATACCTGATTCTGCCACTCCAGTCCTCTAACTCCACTCTTAGTACATATGGGATGGTCGTCTGTGTGGTTATCAAGTGAATCTTCTCATTTCCCAACCAAAACTCTGTGGTGCCCGTGGGAGACAGATGTCCAAACCCTTCTTTGTATTGGATCCAATTTCTCTTGAAATCCTCGCTGCCATCAAGCCTCTAATTACGCAAATGAACAGGCAAAAGGAGAGAACAGATTATCAGCGTGCATGAAGAAAATGTTATAAACATTTGTTGAAAATATGGAGGATATAATCCCATCATTTACTAACTAGATGACCTTGGTCAAGCTGCCTCTGTTTCCTCATCTGTCAAGAAGAATGATGCTTACTTCTAGGGTTATTGCAGGATTTACATGAGAGAATGTTAGAGAAATACTTAGAGAGTAAAATTAGTGGCAGTTTTTAAAAGACATCTAGAGGACTTCAGAACTCTGGCCCGGCACTGCTGATTCTTGTACTGATGGTGGAAAGGTCAACTCATGGCTCAGTCTGCCTGCCAACCAGCACTTCCATCCCCCATGCCCTCTGAGCGCCCCCTGCAGGATTACTTGTAAAGGTGGTCAGAGGTAAAAGGAGAAAAGGATTCTGCAGCAATGCCAGGGGCTGGCAGAGAGAAAACAAAGGGCCCTTGCCTTGGAACAGCCCACCTGAATCCACTGTAGGACTTCATCTTTTTATAACTGGAAGCTGTGGGTCTTGCTCTAACTGATGCACCAAGACCCTTCCAGATTTCTATAGGGCTTTTTGTCACTATGATTCTGTGACTACGTGCTATCACATGTCGAAAATATTAAATGCTCAGTAAATATCAGCAATGATTCTGTATGGTTCCAAGATAAGTAGATTTTACCAAAATACTTAGTGCCAGCATAATATATAGTCAGAGTACAGACTTTGAAATAAGACTGTCTGGGTTCATATCCTAACTCTGTTACTTACTAGTTAGTTATGTGACCTTGGGTGAGTTACTTTACCTCTTGTGCCCAAGTTTCCTCCTCTGTAGAAAGAGGTAATAATTAGACCCACCCCACAGGGGCGTTGGGAGGATTCACTGAGTTGATGTGCTTAGAAAAGCATCCAACCTAAGGCAGATGCTTCTTAAACACACGAGGCAAAGGGAGAAATTACCTTCTGGAGCACAGTCCATCCATTTCCATTTTTCTCAATTTCACAGTAGACTAGGAACTGCTGCTGAGTTGTCAGAGGTTTGATGAAGTAAAGTCCACTCTCTTTGCCTCCCTTATTGCTAACATCTTGACAATCTGAAGAAGAAGAAGAAGAAGAAGAAGAAGAAGAAGAAGAAGAAGAAGAAGAAGAAGAAGAAGAAGAAGAAGAAGCCTAGACTGTAGTCTGAAATCCAGGTAAAACTATTCTAGCCTTGAACATGAGCTTTTAGCAAGATGCAAACTATCAATTTCCCACTAATCATTTTCTTACTTCTCACATCGCCATTCCTTTCGAACTATTTTTTAGCTACTCAAGCAAAGTCAAAGCAATTGGATACAATTAGACTCAATGGCTAAGCACCTGCAAAATCATTCCTATAAATTCTAAAACATGAAATCTCTTTTGCTTAATATATTAATCCCCACATCAAAGTGTCACTTACCTTTCCCTGTGATGTCATGTATTTTGACTGTGTCTTTGCAAGGCTCTTGACACTTTTCCTCAAGCTGGACTACTTTCTGTTTTAAGGTAGCGATCTTCTGATTATTTGAATTATATATGTCCTTCAAAAATCTACAAGCGGAATAAAAAGATAATAGAGCACACCCTTCAGAAGTGTAATTTTTGTATTTTCACTTAAAAATACTACCTTATCTTTTTGAGAATTACTTTCTGATAAAGGACTCCATTTCTTGGGGAAACTGTAAAATTCTGCTACTTAATTGCGGTGAATTAAAATTCTAAGCTTTCTGGAAAAGAAAATGATAAAGTTCTTGTCCATAAGCAATGCCACTGTCATTAAATAGTGGCCATTCTGATTTTTACCATCTGTACCCAGGGCAGCAGGTAACGACCTAATGGAGTGAAGAGCCTGGTTGGTGGGAGGAGTGTCTGATGATCACCTTTAGGACTGGATATTCTCAGTGGAGAAAAGGCTCTGTTTGGGGATTCACATGTGGTGGATCATGCTTTCCAGTGTGGGCCTACTGAGGAGTCTTTGAGGTCTACAATCTAGAACTTACATCGAGAAAGAATCTGGGGCATTATCTTACATATAATAGAACAACAGACACTTCCTGGCCTTCTCAATCTTTGTATTTAGAGATCTTTGGGAAAAGGCTAGGTGTAGTGAAAAACAAACAAATAAACTGCTTTTGTAGTTTTCCACAGGGTTGTGTGTACATATTCAGAAATGGTAGAGCATGGTCTACAATGCACAGATTGCTGTATCTTTTGGTGAAGAAAGATAAAAAAAGTACCTGACCACTCTTTTTCTTTACTCCACCTTAGAAAATTTCTGCACAATAGTCTCTTTAACTTAAGTGATGGGCAATAACAATGTGACTTGTAAATTATACAACAGGAATTATGGCCCTCTGATGATAGAAAGAGGAGAAATCCCTCCTGCCCACTTCTCCCTAGCCGCTGTTTATCACTACTTTTAATGCTGCTTTGAACAGAGTTTAGTAAAAAAAATTATTATTTTTGAGGAAAAAAACTAAAACTGTATCTGAAATCCTGAGTTCAGGAGGTTAATGAGTCCCTGGGAAGTTATTAATACACATTTTACATTCAGGTAAAGGGAGGAGAGAACATAATTGCACATTCACTGTGCCATAATCAGCACGTAGCTTTGTAATGTTTCGTACATTTAGTCTCTTAACCTTTCCTATACTCTCCCTCTACCTCTGCTTGTTAATACCTCCCACCAATTTGTTGACAATCTTATAAAGAGATTTTTAGTTTCCACACCCAAATTCCCATTTGAATTTGTGGTGTAAGACAAACAGGGATGGGGATCATTTTCATAAATATGGTCATAGCAGTATTTGAAGACATCTAGAACACCTTTCTCCCACATGATTATTAAAAAGCAATTATAACCCAATGCAAAACATATTGCACTCAAGATGCTATCTCCACTGAGTTCCAGATGGTCAGGCATAATGACAATTAAATATTAAAAATGGGGGGAAAGTTAATTCCACTGAAGTTTGCAATATTAAGTAAAAACTAAATCACTCTTGGAGAGTAAGTTAAAACGGAAATGCACCCTGGCTGGTGTAGCTCAGCGGTTACAGTATCAGCTTGCACACAGAAGGGTTGCAGGTTTGATCCCCAGCCCTGGTTGGGGTGTGTGTTGGAGGCAACCAACCAATGTGCCTCTCTCACATTGATCTCTCTCTCTCTCTCTCCCCCACCTCCCTCCATTCCACTCTCTCTAAAGAGCAATTGAAAAAAATATCCTTGGGCGAGGATTAACAACAACAAAAAATGCTTACCGAATATTTGATTCATGTGATATAATCAATGCTTCGAATTTCATAATATCTTCCAACATTTTCTTAGACTCCTTAGTCGCAGCTTCTATCCTACCTGTAATATGAGATCAGAGACAGAAATGTTTAGGCAAGTGGAGCCGGTGAAACAACAGCAAAAGAACTTTACAAATTACCTTCTTAGTCAGTGGCATTTAGTTCCTCACCTGGCTTCGGTGGGCCATCCGGATTATAGATTTTTTGGATTATTTTGATTAGTTCTTTGGCTTCATATGTTTTGTTTTCGACTTGACCTAAGGTGTCTTCCAAAGACTGTAGGTCCCGGTCTACTTCTGACTGGTAATTACCCAGGAAGTCTGCGATGCCACATGTAGTCGGGCAGTAACTACCCTGAAAATACAACAGGCTGGTTTAAAATCTTGATGAACGCTACACTTAAAAATCTATGAATAAAAATAGGTAAAAGCTAGACTATGTTAAACAACAGAGTTTAAAATGCCAAAAGATGTTTGTGAGTGAATTTCTTTTATTCCTCTGCCTCTCTGCAGTCTACATATAGCAAGAAAAACATATATTAAAAAAAAAAAAAAACTACTTACAAATCTTTGATCTAAGATGCAGCAGTTGTCTCTGCTGGCAACGTACTAGAAGAGAAAAATACAGACATGTCACTACTTTATTGTATGTTTTCTCACTTGTCAGCTTTCCATGTAAAATAGATATGTCTGCAGAGAAGCATACTTACTGCTAGGCATGTTGAAGAGAGGAATGAAAGCGTGTAGAAGTAGAGAATTAAAGTCCGGGGATGCGAGGACCAACGCATGATGTCAGGGAGCCCTGAGGGTATCAGCATGTGGCCTCCCCGGCTCCAGCAGTCCCTTTATGTAAGCTCTGAGGATGGCCAGGATGGCCTGCCAGTGGCTGAAGCTGATCACGGGACCTTCTTCCCGGAAGGTGGGGGAAGTCTTTCTCATCTCTTTTCCCCCTCATCCTGGCTCCCAACCTATGTTCAATCAGGTTCCCAGATTTTACACACAGGTTTAAGCTCCTCCTTTTGGCCCAGCTCAACCTTTCTCCTCTGCAGCCAATTCATCTGCAAAGGCTAGTGAAGCATTAGCCATTGCTAGGAGGAGGGAGGGACGCCTGGGAGTTTGCATGATGCAACCTCTTCCAGTATTCGGCAGACAGCAAACACGGACAGCTGGCCTCCTCCACCAGAACAAACCCTGACCTCCGTCCGAACAGCCCAGCCCAACCTTAAGATGGAGCCTGGTACCATATCCCAAGTCACCGAAAGCTCTTTCTTAGCCCATGGATTAGGAAACATAATTATTTTTAACCTGTGCCTATGGCAGGAGGAGACTTTGCTTTCTACCAGGTCCCAATGTGTTAATATTTCCAGAAATAAGTGACACTGGAAATACATTCTTCCTGGCTCTGTGTTGGCCGTTGTCTTTTCTTACTTTTTAATTGAGATATAGTTGACATATACCGTTATATTAATTTCAGGTTTAAGACATCACGATTGGGTACATTGCAAAATGATCACAACCATAAGTCAATATCCATCACCACACCTAGTTGCACAATATTTTTTCTTGTGATGAGATCTTTTATGATTTACTCTCTTAGCATCTTTCAAATATAACAGTGTAGTATTATTATGTATAATAATACATTGTCCATTACATACTCAGTAAATAATTAATAATTATGACAACAAGGTGAATATATCAAATCCAGATTTGTGGCCTTTTCTCTCTTTCTTTAATAGTTCCTCTCTCTGACTCACCAATTATTGCCAATCACATCATCGGACCACCCGCCAATTAACGTCACAGTCTTCCTCATTCTCCTTACCCATGTATCTAGTCAGTTATTAAAGCTTGTTGTTAGAACTATCTTCACAGTATCATTTTTATTTTATCGATATTCCTCCTATTTCCACTACCAACATGCTAGGGGAGACCCCTTTATTTCTTGTCCACACTGCTTGTCTACAATGCCGGCTGACTGACCTCCCTTCCTCCATTCCAGTCACTTCCTGCTCCAAACCATTTGTCATAATGCTGACAGATTGATCTTCCTATAATGCAGCTCTGATGATGACAGTCACCTGATCAAAAGCCTTCAGTGACTCCCTGTCTCCCACCATAATGAATGTAAACACAATTGTCCCTTCCCACCTGTGCTGTGTTTTCTCTCGTGGGATCACATAACATCCCCTTCATGTGCACCACGGAGTACGCTCAGACTGTGTTTCTCTTTTTACATGTACCGCCCTCTGCCTGGATTGCCTTCATACACACCCTTGCATCTCCACCAAATTTCTATACAATCTGAATGTCCTATTTCATGATTCCTATACTCCCTTCAAAACAAAACCCAAAAATTCTAGGCCACAGCTCAGCCTTTTTCATAGCGTTTATATATAGAAATCTTGTATTGCTATGTATTTGCAGTATGTGCCTCATTAGATGCTAAACTTATTTTTATCACTACTGCACCTAGCATAAGAATATTTAACACTCAGTAATGATTGGTTGATATTGAATTGAATTGGGCTGGACCTAAATCTTTAGAGTTAACACTTCTAATATCTCTCAAAACTTCCAAGTGCAAAATTAAGTGACTTTGGCAAGGATAATATGTAAAGATAAATAAATGATCAATCAAAAAAAAAGCTATTGATAAGGTGGTTGTATAAAAATTACTAATTAGAAATCAATAACCATTTATAATAATAAAAGGGTAATATGCTAATTAGACTGAACGTCCTCGATGTCCTTCCTTCCGGAGAAAGCCGCAGCAAGTAGGGGCCAAGGCAGAGGCGGCAAAGGCCTCGGCTGCAGTGGCAACGGGTGGAGGCTGGAGCCAAGGCCCCTTGCTTGAATTTCGTGCTTTGAGCCTCTAGTTTTCTATATACAGTCATCACACTTATAATTTCAACCACACACATACAACTAGATAAAATATCTAAGGAAAAATTTAATAAGCAAAAGACAGAATCAATATCATTAAAAATTTCAAACAATACTTTAGGGTTATAAAATAAGAATTAGAAAAATGAAAATCATGCTCTACTTCTAAATAAAAAGAATCAGTAAAAATATCAGTGATTTCCATAATTTGGAACTGTATTAATGTTCCAATAAAACTATAAAATTTTTTTCTTATTATTTTCTTCCCTTTTTAAAGAATTAGCTTAGCTGTTGCTAAAGCTCAAATTTAAAAAAGAGAAAATCATCTTGGAAAATTCTAAATAAGAAGAAGAATGAGGATAAGAATATCTGTCAAATATGAAAGCATATTATAAATCCAAAATATTTTAAACAATATGATACTGGTCCAAATGAGCTGGGTAAATATTATCAAGATATAGGCCTAAATATATTTTGGTGTTTAGTATGATAAAGTTGGTATTGCATATCAGTGAAGATAAAAAAAATTATTAAATATGTGGCATTAGTATGGTATTAGAACAACTGGGAAGTTATCTGGGGGGAAAAATTAAGTGGTATGCATACCTAACTTCTTATGCCAAAATAAATTACATATTGAACACATATTGAAATGTAAAAGAGGAATCCACAAAAATACTAGAAGAAAATAGGAAACCATTGATACAATTGAGTATGGAAGGTCTATCTTAATATGACACAAACTTCCAGGAAAGACTAATGAATTTTAACAATATTAAAATTAACTTCTTCCCAGCCCCAAACAAAACAAAAAACCACTATATACAAAATCAAAGGCAACATACTAAAAGAAAACAGAATACATACCCACACATTAGCATACACATTGAATATCATTTCAGGATTACATTCTTTAGGATTACATGTTTGCCTCTGTGGAGAGGTGTGGAGCAGGAGAATGAAGGATAAGGTGGGAGAAAGGCTTCATTTGTCTGTATACTTAAATTTTTGACTATATGTTCATAGTACCTATGTATCCCTAAAATAGTTAAAACATTTAATAATTTATTTACTGAACTAATTATTTCTTGATTACTTTCTATTTGAATATAAAAGGTGACTAAGGAATTGCTTTTCAAGGGAAGTTTAACTCAATTGAAGAGACTATGCATAAGTAGTTGTTAAGAGCTGTAGAGTTTGAATCCTACCTGTACAACTTACTGTGCCATTTAGTACAAGTTACTTAACTTTTTTGAGTTTTAATATCTGCATTAATAAAATAGAAGAAATTATTGACAATAATACTTCACAGAAACTGTTACTGGGATTCAATGAAATGATGTGTTGAGCACATTGCCTGATTCACAGAAAATGTTAAATAAATGTTTATAAGGCTTATGAATTACCAAATGTTCCAAATTGACAATTGGAATTTGTATAAATAAGTATTTTATTTCATAGTATAGTAGAGTAACCATTATTGGCATATATGGCTCATGGGGACCAGATATTGTTGTTCCAGGTACAAAAAGTTGTTTCTAATCAATGGTTGCTACTAACTGCAGACTGATTTTGTAGTGCTCCATGGAGAAGAAAACATCTGACTGTGTAACTTAGGTGGAGACTCCACCTAAATTAATTCTACCAATCAAAGATGGAATGATTATAGACCTAGACTACACGCTTTGTGAGGTGTAATTACAACCAGAGTTCAAGCACTGTGTGCCAAATAGAGCCTACTGTCTGCCATTGTGGTTCTTCTTGTGGAAGACCGTAAAATATTGATTTATTGGATTTAAGGTAGCAATTCATCACTTTGTGTTAAATCTTACATAGAGAAAATACATAATCTCATATGCACAAGACTGATAAACACTTAAAGAAATTGGAAATTCCATCTTATTCCATGTTAGTAATACTTGTATTTTTGGCCTTTTGCTGACTTGTGTTGGAATCTGAGATGTGGTATCATAACTTTAAAGAAAATATTTACTTTTTACCATAATCTCAAAGTGTAAATCAGAATCCTATTAGGTAAGATGTTCTCTGAGAGAAAATGGCCCACAGTGATTTAGTGACCTAAATTGGCCCTGCTTTCAGACACTAGGTTTTTTACATTTTAACTACCTGTTCTCTTCCAGGTTTGGGCCATTTTTTTCCTCTGATAAATTATAAATGATTAACAAATTCCAGGAGAAAAAATATTTCTTAAATTTCCTCTACTTCTAGGTTGTTTTCAGAGAAAAAAAGCACAAATAGTATGTAAGCCAAAATAATCATTTAATTTAGTTCAGAGGTCAAGGAGCTTGTTTATTAAAATAATAATTTCCCAAGTTATCTACCAGCCACTTGTGTTCTGATTTGAAAATATAACATCTACTGCTAACAGTCTTCATGTACATTAATAAGTCACTCTACGAATCTCTTGTGTTTTGTTCATTTATGCTCCCAAGTTATCGCTGAATTCAAATTTGATTTGGTAGAGTTACTTTAAATTCTTGACCTGGGGAAAATGATGTAGGCCTGAAGGAATAACAGAAAAAAACACCAGTTTTGAGCATCTTCTTAATGCTCATGGTCATGCTGTAGTTTAGTTATTGCTATTTTGCATGGTCTCTCATGTAATCCTCAGAACAAGCTTAGAGGGAGATATAGTTATCTGCATCTCTTAAATGAAGAGGATCTTTGAGAGGTTACAGTGATATATGCAAGACCACTGTTCCAGAACAGGGATTCAGATCCTTAGGCCCAATGCCTGTACTCTCAATCATGCTTCTCAATATGATCACAAAATACTTCTTTATCTAAGGTAGCATACAGATACAAGATGTTACTATGAAAACAATTCATGGGTGGAAAGAGTTCCTAGCAGAGATTATGGATTTTAAAATATGATGTGTTTATGTATATATGTATATGAGATTATATGAACATATATTTGCAT